CTGCCGAGTGTTCAGCGTTTCGCGCCTTGAGAAGTCCGCAACTTCCTGTGCATGTGTTACCCGCTTCTGCTTTCTGCTGATGTCTCTGATGAAGCCTCCGCGACGGATTTTGAAACGTCAAGCGAATAAGTGTCGTCCCAGCGATCAACTCTTCTTCTCAATTACTTCCTGGGACTCGTATGTTTGCTTGTATTAGGATTCTGTACCTTCTGCATTTTTAAACAATCCAGATTCGACGTGAGTGATCTGACTTAACCCTCTGCTTAGCCACTACATAGTGTTGTCATAACCTTCCATTTCCCTTCGGTAGGTGAGATTTAGGTCTGGAGTTGTTACTAACACCACCAGTTGCTCTTGTTAAATTGCGGTTACCCCTCACCGAATGTCATCTCGCTTTGAGAGAAAGAGATGGAGACAGATTCGTTTTATTTTGAAAATATCATTCCAAAATGTTCACAAAAACGTCCTCTATTTGAAAAGAATAAAATTTAGCGCATAAACTCCCAACACTGGTATATCAAAAGAAAGCCATAATCGTAAATGACTGCAGTTTTCGACATCATGGTTAAATGTCCGTGAAATAGTCATCAAATATAGGCCAAAGTGGACTGCTTTCAAAACAACGCTAGCACTGTGACCTTGTGCCCTCCTGGCCTCATTGTACTTCAACTAAACAAAGAGGGATAAGAATCGGTTTATAATGGGCGAAGTTGGCCAACCGACGTGCATATAAGAAAATTTACATGCGAATGGAGGGACGGGAACAAATGGCGGCTCAAAGCCCGCGCATAAGTTTGCACCGCGTATGGACTGCCTAATAGTCCCATCTTCCCCGGCCAGATTCTGATGGAATCTACAGTGACTCCGTCCGGCCACACGTTCGCACGCCTTCGCGATGTTTCATCCCCCACCGGCTGGACGCGATCTGCCATCAGCTCTCTTTTTTATTCTGCGTCCTCACACGCTGGTAAAAGTCCCCATCTCCTCCCTCCCCGCGTGTGCCCGATATGCCGAGGGCGATCTTCATTCGCGGTGGCGGTGGTGGTGGTGGTGGCCGGATAACTTACTCACCGCTCGCGCGGACGAAAAATGAATTTAATATAATTACATCTC